AGGGTGAGAACCTGCTTGTTCTTTACAAAGAAGGTTATCAATTGAGTCTGCAATTCGTCTGATGATATTGTTTGCTATTATCTCACTTGGAATGAAAGGTAGTATAATGACACGCCAGTTGTTACAATCATTTAGTGTTACGTTTTTTGGTAATTTTAGTATAGTGCCATTATTCAAGTGGTATTTTATCTGAGCTTTCCTCCAGATGCATATTTAATGTTATAGAGCAAGATGGCAGATAAGTCCGGGTCTATTTTAATTTAGATTGTCATTTCGCCTCTCGATTTTTTAAAGTTTGTTAGAGTAATGTATGTATATCGACAGAAAATGTGATGTCTGCAACATGTGTTTTTCGTGAAGACCTTCATTGGTTAGCTCGAAGCTAATCTCGTGAATACCGAATACTTCACAGTTCATATTATAGAAATATATAATTAAACAGGTATCACAGTGACTGTGAATTTAAGTAGCGTTACGCCAGTCCTAGGGAAGCTGACTGTGTGTTATTTAAAAAAAAAATCGTAAATCACATTACGCATATCCTAACAAACTGATCATGAAGTCCGAAAAGAAAAGTTATTTTGAGGGAACATGACAAGTAATCAATACATTCTCAGATTCATATGAATCTACTAATACTCTGATGTTCTTAGGCTGTTACATTGCTTGTTTCATTGTTTAATGTTATTATGTCAAATGTTGAGTTATTGCTTATTCCTAGATATTAATAGTTAGACCAAAATCTTACCACATTGGGTAAAACTTATAAGGAATGATGTATTAGTGATGATAATTCCCAATGTCTTTCATTTCGAGCTATATTTATAGAATAACTAATCGAAGAAATTCAAATATAGAAAAATATTCAACGAGTGACCGAGCAACGCATTAATTGACGAATGTGCGTAGCGAATGAGTTAATTATCAGTGTTGGTTCAATTTCATTTGTTAAATTATCGGTTTTTATTTGACTGGGAAATCACAGTAATTCATTGCAATCAATTTAATAAATGTTTTAAATCGTAATGCCAAATTTTTATTTTCCTGTATAAAAACTTAAAAGTTAAAACTTTTAAAATCCACAGAAATGTTGATTAGGATACTAGCTGTCTGTCTGCATGGCACACATTGAATTAAATTAATAATCATACTTGCATCTTAGGAAATTGAAGCAAACTTGCCAAATATTATAAATGTTAAGGTATTTACAATGTCCATACTTCCTCAGTTTGTTCTTACTACCTTAAACGACGACAACACAATGAATGAAATAAATGAATATTCTTACCTTTTCATTTTAATTGTTAAAATTTCTTTTGCTCTGAATCCTAAAAGCCAAATTTTTTCGACTTTTGCAGTAGCTATTCATACAAGACATTTACAACCATACATAAAAATAGTTGACCCGAATAAAAAAAAATTGGGTAACACAGAGACTTCTCCTGTCCGGCAGTATGGCCTGTAGGTATGAAGTATCTCTACGCTTGTGTAAAATGTATAAATTCAGACAAATTCCTATTGGAATTGGTCATATAACCTTTGCACTACTGTATATAAAAGTTACATTTTAACCTACTGAATGGCCTTATTGTTTTCTCATCTAACGTCCACAGACTTCATAGAACACATTGAATTAACGTATTGCCTAACTTGGTTAGTCCTTAACGTGCATATATACCCAAGAATGTTAAAGCATTCTATTTTATTAACAAACAGCGGTTAATAAATATGATGACAGGCTGATACAGCACGATTGCCATTGGTCGTATTACACATACAATATACATGTATTTACTATTAAGTATATATAAAAACACATTTATTCTTAACCCAGTTGTTGGCATTATACGGGTTATGTTCTTCTCGTATATTTTATGATGTATGATACTAAACCCCCTAACGGGAGGGATTGTTCTTGGTTTTCATATGATGAAGACATAATCTTTCAATCAGTTTAATTGTGGTCTGGGGCTGGCATGTCAGTAACTGCTAGTAGTCCTTTGTTAATTTATGTTGATTATTGTCATTTTGCTTAGTTTCTTCTGTTACCTATTGTAACATCGGACTCCGAATTCTTATAAACTGAATGTTACTGTGCGTATTGCTGTGTGTTTGTTTATTCAACATTGGCTAGAAGTATAGGGGGAGGGTTGAGATCTCACAAAACATGTTTAACCCTGTCGCATTTTTCGGCTGTCCCATTTCAGGAACATCTGGCCTTTGTTAGTCTTGTATGTTTTTTTCTTTAAATTTTGGTTCATTTATATCTTTGGAAGTTAAGTGTGACGTCCATTTTCGCTGAACTAGTATACATGATTATTTAGGGACCAGTTGAAGCCCACCTCCGGGTGCGGGATTTTTTCGCTGTGTTGAAGACCCATTGGTGGCCGTGGACTGTATTCTGCTCTTTGGTCGGGTTGTTGTCTCTTTGATGCATTCCCCGTTTCCATTCTCAGTTTTATAGTTTTGGTGATAAGTTTCATTCGGTGGTCTCACAATCCAGGATAAGAGGACGAGATTGAGTTTAAGACACTTCGCATTTCCGTGGTCATCTGTGACACAAATAGTCCATCACGGTCAACAAACTCGGGATGGCGTCCGTAAAACTATAGAAGGGAAGGCTGCAACTTTACCATTTGGATACCTTGGTGCAATATATAGTATGTCTTCCTTGTAAGAAGCAACTCTCTATCTAGGACATTATGATAGGAAACACAAGCTACGGAATATCTTATCAACCGGGAGAAATATAGGTGCTGCTGGAATGTTGCTATACAGAAATGGAAAGCAAAAGATTGGGAAGCTGAAATCGTTCCTTTTGTCGTTAAGTTGTGGTCTAAACTGACCCTCATTGTCAATTTCTAGATGTAAACGTAAAAATAAGAAGATGTGGTTTGATTGTCAATGAGACAACTCTACACCACAGTCAATTTATGAGGCCGTCTAAACCGTATATGAGGTATCACTAATTTTATTAAAAGTTTGGATAAATACATTCAACAAAGTCACCAAACTTTTAATACTTAGTGAGACACATCTTCTGTAAAGCAGAACGTGAAGTTGAAGAATAGTGGGATTTCTAACATGGATGCTGGATAACGCTGGTAAAACAATAATTATTGTTCTTAGAAACGCGGAAATGGGTCATCATCTATTCACATCGTATAGATATAAGAAGATGTGGTATGAGTGCCAATGAGACAACTCTCCATCCAAGTCACAATTTGTAAAAGTAAATCATTATAGATCAAAGTACGGCCTTCAACACGGAGCTTTGGCTCACTACGAACAGCAAGCTATAAAGGGTCCCAAAAATGATTAGTGCTGAACCGTTTAAACAGGAAAACCAACGGTTTAATCTATATAAAAAACGAGAAACGAGAAACACTTATGAACCACATCAACAAACGACAACCACTGAACATAAGGTTCCTGACTTAGGACAGGTGATGATACATAGTGATTTTTAAAGGCATTTTAAACGTGAACATAAACGTAATAATCAAACATTAGATATGACGACAAAAATAGTTCCTCCAAAGGTTTATTATCCCCTTGCCGTTTATACATGTTACATACATGTTCAGTATTTCTTAGTTGACAATATCATTCTTAGTCAATAAGACACGTAAAAGAAAATTCTATCAATTAAAGTTTTGATTGCAATTATTAACGTGAACATAAATGTATTAATCAAACATTAAATATGATGACAAAAATAATTCCTTCAAAGGTTTATTATCCCCTTGCCCTTTATACATCATGTACATGTTACATAAATGTTCAGTATTTCTTAGTTGACAATATCGTGATGTTTTTGCTTCGCATCACGGTGTGGAGCTATTAGTTTCAGTCGATATACACGCCATCTTGAAATAATTACTTATCACATATAGATTTTGTTTGGTTGCTATATGATGCGGCTGAGATAAAGCAACAGCTATTGGCTTAAATGAGATAAAGAATTACAGACTTTTCTCGTCTCAGGATAAGACATCAAATGCCGGAAAATTAACTATGTGTATTTCAGTTCCGATCAACTGTCATTTAGTCATGTTCGTTTTATTATGCATATATTGCACACTGAAATTCAATATTGAAATATCAATTGTTAATACGTGTTTATTTGCTTTGTTAATCTGCAATATGCAAGATTTGTTTTGCTAAACAATGTTCCTATACAATATTTACAAAAATGCATTATCTGTATTTTATAACTTCTGCCAATCTAGGCACTACTCCAGAGTCGTGTCTATTTGTAAATGTCTTGGTTTTGATAGTTATTGTCTTCAGAGAGGTCACTTTTCTCTTTACAGTTATGGTTTCTCTACTCTGTATACAACATTACGATGTACTCCTATCAAACAGAAACATACATTGTGTTTACGTCAAACAACGATAACGCTGTTTTGTATGCAGGTACAAAGCCCCTTCAGAGAATCAATAAAATGTTTATTTTTATTTATAGTAAAAGTTCAATGGTAAGGTAATATTGACATTATAAAACTTAAAAAAAAAATGGATATTAGGATCCCTGAGGAAATTTTAAAAGCCTTCTGTGAGAATGTATTTTAGTGTCAATATTAACTTATCGTAGAACTTTTATCTCTTTCAGAAAACATTCGCTTGCTGAAGTTGCTTCACATAAGTTTTCAATGTTTACTACAAAAAAAATCCGGGAAATTAACAGTTGTGTCTCCCCCTCAAACAAGTAGATCTATTTTTTTAAAATCATTTTGATCGTACAACCTGTTTTAAATGAAAGCTAACTAACAAGTTCTTACTTTCAATGAAAAAAAAATTTCTCACCAATTTTGTAGATAAAAGGGGATTTCCCTCTAAGCCTATCAATATTCGGTGAATACCCCCTATATTATTTTATACGAAACCGTTTTTAGCACCTTACTGCAGTTGTTTAATTAGTTAGTATGAGTGACCTAATTGTGTTCATAAAAAGATACAAGATATTCAATTACTTCGGACAAAAACCATAAAACAAAGCAATCACTGAAAGGGAAAGTACAACTGACATGATTATTTTTCCATTATAATATATAAATAAAATAAATGGATACAAACAGGGAAGTGGAAGGTTTTCTAACACGTCGGAAGATCTTTTAAACCATTGTTGGAAACTGCAATCGTAAGTTAGGCTATTTGACCATTTTGACATTTTGAAAGTTCGATTTTATCCCTACTATTATATCGTAGATCTGACTCAAAGTATGGCAAGTCATCTTTAATTTCCAGGGTGTATTGCTTTGAAATGCCTGTATGCTTCATCAGAAGCATTCACAGTGAATAAAATTGAAAATGGAAATGGGGAATGTGTCAAAGAGACAACAACCCGCAACAACCGACCAAAGAGCAGAAAACAGGCAAAGGTCACCAATGGGTCTTCAATACAGCGAGAAAATCCCGCAACCGGAGGCGTGCTTCAGCTGGCCCCTAAATAAAAATATGTACTAGTTCAGTAATAATGGACGTCATACTAAACTCCGAAATATATAAAAGAAACTAAAATTAAAAATCATACAAGACTAACAAAGGCCAGAGGCTCGGGACTTGGGACAGGAGCAAAAATGCGGCGGGATTAAACATGTTTGTAACAATTCCTGACGTATTCAATTTGTATTACATGAAAAATACAAAACATTCCGGGTATTCATTCTATACAAATGTGCTCTAATTGTAGAACAAATAACAATAATCTTCTTATATCTATATATTATAATTTGTGTCAGTAGAAATAGTATGCAAGAGCGTTATAATAATTTTTTCTTTAGTGTACATTTTTTTTAAAAGTATGAAGGAACTACACTTTGTAAATGTGAATTCATTATAACTAAATATTCAAAATTGTAAAAAAAATAGCTATAAAAGAAGAAATCAGAGAAAGAGAAATAGATGGTGATCCTTATCTTTCCGTGAAATTTATGAATATAATTAATAAGAAATAGTAGGCAAGAGCGTTATAGTACTTTTATTCTTCAGTGTACATTCTTTAAAAGTATGAAGGAACTATATTTTGTAAATGTTAATTCATAAAAACTAGATATTTAAAATTGTAGAACAAATAACAATAAACGAAGAAATCAATGAAAGAGAAATAAAGTGGATAACCTTATCTTTCCATAAAATTTATGAATATAATTAATAGAAGTATTAATCATATATGCTTAAAGTAAAAACTATTTTTACAGTATGATAAAAGCATTAAATTTATAAAAACTCTATATTTTCCGAATTGGTGCCCTGCAAGCCAATATGAAAAATTAACTAACTGCTTGCAGCTATTATCACGTCTGTTCGTAACATTATTGCATGGCAATTCGTCGTTACTCGACAAATAACGGAAAATAGACACAACATTACGTTTTCAATGATAAAAGGCAATGCAGGAAGAATTGATCCATGCAACCCTCTAGGGTAAGAACCTGCTTGTTCTTTACAAAGAATGTCATCAATTGAGTCTGAAATCCGTCTGATGATATCGTTTGCCATTATCTTACTTGGTATGAAAGGTAGTATAATGGCACGTCAGTTGTTACAATCGTTTAGTGCTACTGGTTTTGGCAATTTTAGTATAGTGCTATTATTCAAGCGGTATTTTATCTGAGCTTTCCTCCAGATGCCTTTAAAAATGTTATAGAGCAGGATTTCAGATAAGTCCAGGTCTATTTTAATTCAGATTGTCATTTCGCCTCTCGATCTTTAAAAGTCTGTTAGAGTAATGTATGTATATCGATAGAAATGTGATGTCTGCAACTTGTGTTTTTCGTGAAGAACTTCCTGGGTTAGCCCGAAGCTAATCTCGTGAATACCGAATACTTCACAGTTCATAGTATAGAAATATAGAATAAACAAGTATCACAGTGACTTTGAATTTAAGTAGCGTAACACCAGTCCTAGAGAAGCTGACTGTGTGTTATTTAAAAACAAAACGTAAATCACATTGCGCATATCCTAGCAAACTAATCATGAAGTCCGAAAAGAAAAGTTATTTTGAGGGAACATGACAAGTAATCAATACATTCTCAGATTCATATGAATCTACTACAGTAATACTCTGATGTTCTTATCCTGTTACATTGCTTGTTTCATTGTTTAATGTTATTATGTCAAATGTTGAGTTATTGCTTATTCTTAGATATTAATAGACCCAAAGCCTAACCACATTGGGTAAAACTTGGAAGGAATGATGAAGCAGCGATGATAATTCCCAATGTCTTTCATTTCGAACGATATTTATAGAATAACTTATCGAAGAATTCAAATATAGAAAAATATTCAACGAGTGACCGAGGAACGCATTAATTGACGAATGTGCCTAGGGAAAGAGTTAATTATCAGTGTTGGTTCAATTTCATGTGTGAAATTATCGGTTTTTATTTGACTGGGAAATCACAGTAATTCATTGCAATCAATTTAATAAATGTTTTAAACCGTAATGCCAAATTTTTATTTTCCTGTATAAAAACTTAAAAGTTAAAATCCACAGAAATGTTGATCAGGATACTAGCTGTCTGTCTGCATGGCACACATTGAATCCGATTAATAATTACACTTGCATCTTAGGAAATTGAAGCAAACTTGCCAAATATTAAGAATGTAAAGGTATTTACAATGTCCATACTTCCTCAGTTCGTTCTTACCACCTTAAACGACGGCAACACAATGAATGAAATAAATGAATATTCTTACCATTTCATTTTAATTGTTAAAGTTTCTTTTGCTCTTAATCCTAAAAGCCAAATCTTTTCGACTTTTGCAGTAGCTATATATACGAGAGATTTACAACCATACATAAAATTAGTTGACTTGAATAAAAAAAAAAAGGGTAACACAGAGACTACTCCCGACCGGCAGTATGACCTGTAATTATGAGGCATCCCTACGCCTGTGTAAAATGTATAAATTCATATAAATTCCCATTGGAATTGGTCATATAACCTTTGCACTACTGTTTATAAAAGTTCTATATTAACGTACTGCATAAATGGCCTTATTGTTTTCTCATCTAAGGTTCACAGACTTCATGTAACATATTGGATTAACGTATTGCCTAACTTGTTTAGTCCTTAACACGCATGAGATAAACACCCAAGAATGTTAAAGAATTCTATTTTATTAATAAACAGCGGTTAAAACATATGATGACAATTCTTTTTATAGCAATTGAAATTCGGTAGTTTTGTTTTTAAACTGTAAAAGACAAAATTATCATTTTGGAAAAGATGTGGTCTGACTGTTTTTAACACCAATTCCAATATTTTGATTGGTTGATGTTTGAGTCTTGGTACGATAGTCATACTACAGTTTTATGACTGTAAGCCATGGTGTATAAATCCACAATGGCTTCAATTAATAAAACCAAAAACAAGCCAACAGCGCTTTAGCTGCTATTCCTAATTTCAAATTCACATTAAGACCTTCAATCCATGGGTGTTGAAAGGTACATGAAAGCTCATATGTATTTTCATAGGACTTGCAAGAATCTAATGTATAAAAATTTGTTTTATGTGTTTGTTATTTAAATCATGGACTGTTTTGATCACAAATGCGGTGTCCTCTCTACGTTGAAATTCCGTAATCTAATAAAAACTTCTTAATCTTTATCACATATATAATTTTGGTTTCGATTAAAATGTCCTTAATATCTTATAATTTTTGGATTTATGTTAAAATTCGCAAAATCATACAAAGTTGCAATTTTGACTAGTAATGTATTTTTAGGCATTTTAATTTGGTTATATATATATAAACAAGCTATAATTTTGATCAATGCGCACAGTATGTACATGAATGGAGCTGTAATAGTAGACCTTTTTTAAGTACAGATTGACTTTTTTTTATAATGGATCTAGTATGAAATAAATTATTTGAAATAGGCCTTACCTTTTTGTGAAACCTTATTTGAATAATATGAAAAAAAATCCGCTGCTTATTTATCATATTCTATTTGTTTTGCTCGAACATTGTTTTCAATATAATGGAATTTTACGCGACTGTCACACACAAGTGGCAGGTTTAGATAGCTATAAAACCAGGTTTAATTCCTTTTTTTTCTACATAAGGAAATGCCAGTACTAAGTCTCTTTTGTCGTTAAGTTGTGTTCTAAACTTACCCTCATTGTCAATTTCTAGGTGTAAATATAGAAATAAGAAGATGTTGTATGATTGCCAATGAGACAACTCTACACCACAGTCAATTTATGAGGTCGACTTAACCATAGCTGAGGTATCACTAATTTTATTAACAGTTAGATTGAATTAATACATTCAACAAAGTCACCAAACTTTTCTAACTTATTCAGAGCACATCTTCTGTAAAGCGGAACGTGAAGTTGAGGAATAGTCGGATTTCTAACATGGATGCTGGATAAAGCTGGTAAAGCAATTGTTCTCGAAAGGCGGAAATGGGTCATCATCACACCTTAGTCAATAAGACACGTAATTGAAATTCAAAATATTCTATCAATTAAAATTTTAATTTCAATCATTAACGTGCATACAAATGTACTAATCAAATATCAGATAACACGACAAAACTAATTCCTCCAAAGGTTTATTATCCCGTTGCCCTTTATATATGTTACATAAATGTTAAGTTTTTCTTAGTTGACATTATCATGATGTTTTTAGTAATATTTTTATACCTAGTAATGGTATCTATTTACCCGAGAGGTGAAATCTTTGGTCTAAATTAAGATACTCGCAGCAATTTAAAAACGTACTCTCGAACAGCGTTTTATGAATGTTATCTATGACAAAGCAGCCCACAACGTTGACGTAAGTACTGTAAAGTACAGAAATGCTTTTAAGTGAGATCACAAAATTACGTACATTCATAACTTGTATTTATTGGTCATTCCTGGTATCTGTTTTGTGTATTATCTACAAGTTCAACTTAGAGAAAATATCTGAAACGTGCACGCTTCAACAACAACTGAAGCAAATAATGCTACTGAATATCGTTAGATTTCCTATATGCATGACGTTTTAAAATGCCCATAAACATATAATGATTTTCGAATTATATCTACACTCACATGACTCAGTAAATGCTTAAGATACACACAACTTGCAAACATTCAGGCACTAGTTATCAACTATAGTGCCAAAGCTTATGTTAATAGGTTATCTATAGATGATCGATAGCTTTTCACACGAGAGGGAGTTTCTCGTCAGCAATCTCATTAATGGCTTATGACGTCATCGTGTTCTTTCTCTACTCAACTGAGAGGAAAACCCATTCTCAGTCAAGTAGCATGATATGAAAAATTATCACAAAAAATATCGTTAACAAAATTTAAGAACAAAGCGATAAAATCTATTTCTGGGTGCGAAAATCCTAAATGGTCTTGATTAAGCGGCCTTACAGTTATGGTTTCTCTACTCTGTATACAACATTACGATATACTCTTATCAAACAGAAACATACATTTTGTTTTACGTCAAACAACGATAACTCTGTTTTGTATTCAGGTAGAAAGCGCCTTCAGAGAGTCAATCAAATGTTTATTTTTATTTATAGTAAAAGTTCAATGGTAAGGTAATATTGACATAATAAAACTTCCAAACAAAAAGGGAAATTAGGATCCTCGAGTAAATTTTAAGAGCCTTCTGTTAGGATGTGTTTTATTGTCAATATTAACTTATCATTGAACTCTTATCGCTTTCAAAAAACATTCGCTTGCTGAAGTTGCTACACATAAGTTTTCAATGTTTACTACAAAATAAAACCCCGGGAAGTTAACAGTGGTGTCTCCCCTTAAAAACAAGTACGTCTATTCTTTTTAAAATCATCTTGATCGTACAACCTGTTTTAAATGAAAGCTAACTCACTAGTTCTTACTTTCAATTAAAATAAAAAATATCCACCAATTATGTAATCAAAAGGGAATTTCCCTCTAAGCCTAGCAATATTCGGTGAATACCCCTATGGTATTTTATATGAAACGTTTTATAGCACCTATAGTTTTAAACTTCAGTGCAAGTGTTTAATTAGTTAGTATGAGTGACCTAAGTGTGTGTTTATAAAAAAATACAAGATATTCAATTACATCAAACAAATACCATTAAACAAAGCAATCACTGAAAGGGAAATTAAAGTTGACATGATAATTTTTCCATTATATATATAAATATAATAAATGGACACAAATAGGGAAATGCAAAGATTTTTAACGTTCGGAATATCTTTTCAAAAATAGTTGGAAACTGCCATCGTAAGTTAGGCTATTTGACCATTTTGACATTTTGAAAGTTCGATATTGTTCCTACTATTAAATCTTACTCTGACTCAAAGTATGGCAAGCCATCTTCAATTTCCAGAGTGTATTGCTTTGGAATGTTCTACCAGAAGCATTAACAGTGAAATTTGTAACAATTCCTTATGTTTACAATTTGTATTACATGAAAAATAAATAGCAATACAAAAAATTCCGGGTATTATTTCTATACAAATATGCTCTATTATTATTTGTTTCAGTAGAAATAGTAGGCAAGAGCGTTATAGTACTTTTATTCTTCATTGTACATTCTTTAAAAGTATGAAGGAACTACATTTTGTAAATGTGAATTCATTATAAACAAGGTATTAAATAAAACTGGAAATCAACATCAAGTTTAGAAAACCTCCATTTCTCCTTTCCGCTTAATTTCATGATGTTAGTTAGATTATTTTTTTAATTTGATGTTACTTTCATTTTTTTCTTCTTAGTTGATTTTTTCATATTTAACCTATTTATTATGCTTGAACGACATATTGTGCATTATAACTTACCGTAAGAAATAAATTGCAAACACTTGATAGTATGACTAAACCTTTTCTTGTTATTTAAACATGAAAACTGTGGAACTAAGCTTATTCCATGCATGCATGGACGAAGGCAACTAATGTTAACTTAGTCCATACTTGCACGGACTAAGTCTGCTTGAATAATTGAATAATTTCAAATTTCTGTACAAAGTTAGTTTAGCTCATGCATGCATGGACTAAGTCTATTGTGTTAGTCCATGCATGCATGGACTACGTTAACGTTAGTTGCCTTCGTCCGTGCATGCATGGACTAAGTCTATTGTGTTAGTCCATGCATGCATGGACTACGTTAACATAAAAGAGGGACGAAAGATACCAGAGGGACAGTCAAACTCATAGATCGAAAACAAACTGACAACTCCATGGCAAAAAATAAAAAGACAAACAGACAAATAATAGTACAGATGACACAACATAGAAAACTAAAGACTAAGCAACACGAACCCCACCAAAAACTGGGGATGATCTCAGGTGCTCCGGAAGGGTAAGCAGATCCTGCTCCACATGTGGCACCCGTCGTGTTGCTTATGTTATTACAAATCCGGTAAAAAGTCTAATTCGGTAAGTCACATTCGTGAAAAGGGAAGGGTATTGTAGTTACGACATTAGGAACATATCCGATATCATCTGTGAAACGGTTATTCCTTAACGGTCAACCAACTCGTGATGGCGTCCGTAAAATTTACGAAGGGATGATTTCAACTTCACCATTTGGAACTCTTGGCTTAATAGCTTCCTTGTGAGCAGCAATCCTCTATCAAGGAAATCATGATAGGAAACACAAGCCCGGGAATATCGTTTCAATTGGGAGATATATACTCCGTATGCAGGCGCTGCTGGAATGTTGCTACATAGAAATGGAAAGTTCACATAAGTTGCCTTCGTCCATGCATGCATGGAATAAACTTAGTTCCAAAGTATTCATGTTTACATAACATGAAAAGGTTAAGTCATACTATCAAGTGTTTTATTTCTTAAGGTAAGTTATAATGCACAATATGTCTTTAAATCATAATAAATAGGTTGAATTTGAAAAAAATCAACTAAAAGGAAAAAAAATGATATTTACATCAAATTAAAAAATAATCTAACAAACATCATGAAATTAAGCAGTAAGAAGAAATGGAGGTTTTCTAAACTTGATGTTGATTTCCAGTTTTATTTAATACCTTGTTTATAACTAAAAATTCAAAATGGTAAAACAAATAGCAATAAAAGAAAAAATCACAGAAAGAGAAATAGATGGTGATCCTTATCTTTCCGTGAAATTTATGAATATAATTAATAGAAATATATTCATATATGCTTATAGTAAAAAACAATTTTTATAGTATGACGAAAGCATTAAATAAATAAAAACTCCATATTTTCCGAATTGGTGCTCAGCAAGCAAATACTATAAGTTATATGGTTTGCTACTGACCGTCTTCGGATCCATAGAGGGTTAGTAAATCTCATAGAGGTTGAGGCCGAAGGCCGAATCTCCTATGAATTTTACTAACCCTCTATGGTTCGTAGGGGTCAGTAGTGAACCGTATAACGAATTTATCGCACAAGGGACTTTTCCTGTCGCGTTTTGTAGAAAAATAAACAATGAAATACAGCATACATCAATAGATGACGTCATCATTAATAGTAAAGGTGACGTCCTGAACCCCATATAAAATCTACTGACCCCAGACGGATTCATAGGGTCACCACGTGACGGCGTTAAACCAATCATAACGTCATAATTTATCGGAGGTGCGATAATTATAGAATAACTAATCGAAGAATTCAAATATAGAAAAATATTCAACGAGTGACCGAACAACACATTAATTCACGAATGTGCGTAGTGCATGAGTTGATTATCAGTGTTGTTCGGTCACGAGTTTAAATTTTTTTCGATATTTGAATTCTTTAATTAGTTATTCTTTTTATTACATTGACAATGGGCCTTTTAATGGAAATAAAGTAGAAAATGTAAGGAACTATATCTTTTTCTACGCATTCACAATTTGTTTTGATGCAACGTCCTTGACAACGTCTTGACAACACATATTGTTATATGACGTCATAAGAGTGAAATTATCGAGTTAATTTCACATGTTTGTATTTCACTTGGAAATCCTGGTAATTCACTGCAATCCATGTAATAAGAAAAATTAAGTAACTACTTCCAGTTATTTTCACGTCTCTTCGTAACATTATTGAATGGCAATTCGTCGTCACTCGGCAAATGATGGAAAGTACACACAATATTACGTTTTCTATGGAAAAAGGCAATGCAGGAAGAATTGATCCATGCAACCCCTCTAGGATGAGAACCTGCTTGTTCTTTACAAAGGAGTTCATCAATTGAGTCTGCAATTCGTCTGATGATAATGTTTGCCATTTTCCTACTTGGGATGGAAAGTAGTATAATGCCAAGCCAGTTGTAACAATCATTTAATGCTACTTTTGTGGTCATTTTAGTATAGTGCAATTATTCAAGCGGTATTTTATCTGAGCTTTCTTCCAGATGTCTTTAAAGATGATATAGAGCAGGATTGCATATAAGTCCGGGTCTATTTTAATGAGTTCGGTACTCAGATTATCATTTCAAAGGGATTTTTCATTTTTTAAACTTTTAATAAAAGATATCATCTCATGTTTTTCATGTGATTCTATGTTGATTTCTAGTTTATGGTTATTCTCTGCTGTAATAGGGAATTCTGTAGGAGTTGTTATATTTAGTAGCTCCTGGAATTTTTTTTCTATCTTTTCTCTTGTTCAATTTCCTAGCTGTTTTTTACAGAACTATTATACGGTGCTGTGTTTTGCCACCAATAATTTTGAAGATTTTATAGAGGTTGCCTTCATCCCGTTTGCTAGCTGTTTCTACAGCCTTATAAGCAAGACTACCCATGTAAGTTCTTTTGTCGTTACGTACTATTTGGTTGTATTCATGTTAGTATCTTAACTTAAGGCGTTGTGATTTTGCCTCACTTACTTTTTCTTTGTATTTCTTCTAATAATGAGAATATTTTCCCATGTTCCAGGTGTGATCCAATCTTCATGTTTCAGGTTTTGTTTAGGACATCATTGTTTCTGTTTCTTCTTCATCATTTAAGATTTGCAAAAGGTGGTATCTATTTCTAATCAAGGTTGAATATTCCTTTCTTTCTTTAACCTCATTTAACTTTCCTATGTCAAACTTTTTCTAAGATCTTGTGTTCTTTCCATTTGCTCTGAGTTTGAGTTTAATGTCGGCTGCTACCAAGTGATGATCATTTCCAACATCAGCTCCCATTTGACTTTAACTTTCAAGACTTTGATTCATCAGGGATCGTCTCCACATTCTATTTATCACGATGGGATCTAATTGGTTCTTGTCTCGTTGATTAGGAGATAACCATGTCAATTTGTGAATGTTATTATGTAGAAAAATTGTCCCTTTTATTACATAGTCGTTTGTGGTTCATAATTCTGCTTGTCTGTCACCATTTTCATTAACGCAGTAATTGCAAGTACTCTTATATCTGTACTTCGTGACTTTGGTGTTTTTGTTATTTGAATGTGTGCGCTGTATCTATCTGGTGAGTTAAGCCATTTTCAACTGATTTTTATAACTTGTTCTTATTTTGTGCTTTTGCACCACAGTCATAGGTTAGGGAGAGGGTTTGACGAAAACATGTTTAACCTCCGGCACATTATTTATGTGCCTGTCCCAAGTCAGGATCCTGTAATTCATTCGTTGTCGTTTGTTGCTGTTTATCACATTTGTTTTTCGTTTACTGTTTTGTAGATAAATCAGACCGTTAGCTTTCTTGTTTGAATTGTTTTATATTTGTCATTTCGGGATCGTATATAGCTTACTTTATGGTGTGGGTTTTGTTGAAGGCAATATGTGACCTATAGCTGCTAACGTCTATGTCATTTGCTCTCTGGTGGAAAGTTGTCTCGTTTGCTAATGTACCATATCTTCTTATCTTTTTATTTTTGATATAGTATACAATACATGCACTTAATACCTTTATGCTATTTTATAGCCATGATAGTCAGGTTGCTTGATTGAATGGATAATCAATAATAAAGTTTCAAGTGTATTTGGAATATGTCTAGTTGGTTAGAGATTTTTGTTTGAAATCTTACGATGAGGACGACGACGACAACCACAGACGACTCCAAGAGAGACAAAAGCTCATATGGCTCGTGTTAAGATTAAGAGTTCTAATTCTAGTAAGGGATTTCGGCGGAGATTCAAATACAAAATTGGTATCCACAGATATATACAACAATTGGATAGTGTTTGATTTGGTAAGAGAAATCCAGAAATTTCTTTCATTCAAATAATAAAATTAGAAGTAGAAGGTTTAAAATGGTATTACATACTTAACGTTTTGAGAAAGTATACTGTAGTATGCAGACATGATAAAGTCCATGTAATGTCAAAGTATCAACAAAAATCAATCGAATAAAGAAATTAAATAAAAAATGTAAAAGTATCACGTGAGTAAGATTTCATAAACTTCTGCTAAACGCTTCAGAAGCAGTAGATGATACAAAAAAGTGATTGACGGCAATCCCCATCAGTATAAACCACCCGGTTCAAAAGGTATAATTAAATTAAAAAAAATATAAATGTTTCTTATTTCTAAGAACAGTCCACCTTACAATCAGGCAATGAGTGATAAGTCAATGTTTTCAGGTCCACCTGAAATGTTGCACATATTACCAGTATCATGTAAAAGTAAATTTTCAACATTTTATTGTTTATAAATTTTACTGTTGTTGCCAAGGTAACAACTCATAAAAAAAAAACAGTAATGAACTCATTTCAGTTTAAATAAGATCCAATATAGCAAGATTTGGAAATGAAATTGTGAACATGTGTGTAACAGTAGCTATCTTATGTATTTATTCATAGTTTATTACACAATGTTTCATCTATTTCCCAATATATTCTTAGTTTAAAAATTTAGATTATATATGAAATTTGCTTGGAAACCATGGCAATTTGTGTAATTAAAGGCTTTTCATAAAATGGTCATATTGTCTATTTTATTGAAGTAAAAGTAAACTTTTCCAAACAGCTTATCAAACTATGATTGTGTGTTATGATATATATAGAATTGGTGAACTTAAAAAATTAAAATGGAGACCAGCAAATTATAGTTGCCATGGTAACGGAATTCAAATTATTTCCATATTTAATGAATTTGCAAAAATACCAAAAAGTGGCATAATTCATAAGTCTTAAACTTTACTCTCCCTAAAAGCTTTATTAACAACAAAAAAAGGATGATATCAAAATGTTATGGTGATTGTAGATCTTTGACGTTTTCTTAGAAATCTATCATACGTTTTCTAGACTCGGGGGTTGTTTGGGACTTGTCATATTGTATATCCACTTGTCATTTGCTAAAGACCGTATGTAGACCGCTAGTAGTCTTTCATTTGGTAATTTTATATTTGAGGGATAGCCTCATAGCCGATATGTTTCTTCTTATTTACATATTTGTGAAATTTTGCAACATGACAGACAGCATTCAAGTTAAAGCACCAAAAGCAGCCATAAATTACATTAAAGTATATCAAGAAAATAGAAGGCAGTTTGTCTCAGCAATGACGTACGCCCACGTATATTTCATTCCTTTACCCTGAATAAATTTTATTTAAACAATCATCTCTTATAGGGCGTTTGTTGCTTCAGTCCTTCCATGTTCATGTATTCATTGAAACAAAGCTAACCGATGTAACGTTAACGTTAATAAACGCTCTTTTGTTTTATAGTTTCTCTTTTACTATTGTAAATTTAATCATTTTCGTTCATTATGATTTCTTGCATAACTATTACATTATTTAGTGTTTATGTAAAGTAAAAATGTTGATCCAGGAGCATAATGATATCTTGATTGAGTGCTTACATCGTTAATAGAAATATATTATTTCAGGAATTGTACATTGGAAAACAATAGAATAAAAGTATGTAAGCTTTTTAAAAAATATGTCCCGGTCAAAATTTGTTGGCGAGAAAAAGAAAGCTCTTTGTTTGTCTTATGAAATGTATAGGATTGAAGTAATACTTAAAGGTATACATATGCTTGTTATATACAAAATAAAAAGACATTGGTAATATATGAAATGACAAATACAGAGCATATATGCATAGACAAGGAAAAGCCATAAAGGTTATACAATATTTTGGAAAATATGAGAACCAAACATCATTAAAGCACCTTGCAATTGTTCCGGATAGGTGTACTGCCTGGCACAAATCATTTTACGATAAGTTCGTACATAAATGATTTAAGGTTATTATAAGATTGAATAGTTATATTATATAATGAAGATTCTATACTGTATGAAATATTGCTTTTCAGGTTAGGGTTTCCTTTAAACTGATGGGGGAGCCGAGATTATCAGCCTCTTTCTTGACACTATCCATAGCTTCTCTGCTTTATGTAATTGGTTTTTCGACTCATTCCTTCATTAAGATTGAGAAAAAGGAAGTCCACATACACAGCGGGTTATGGAAACGATGTGTTTCATATGATAATATAACAGTATGTATGGACATAGAAAATTATGCGGATAAAGGTTTGTTTTTCTATTATTCATCTTCCTTATAGGTTTCTACAATTTATCGATACACGAAAAAAAAAAACAACAAAAAACAAAAAAAACATTGACATAAATTATAGAGGTAGGGCCAATTTTACCAGAATTTATTTCACACTTGAGCCATTTAAAAAAACATTCTTCAGTATTTACTATAATTCACAGTATCATGGCTCAATATGAGAACATTAAGGTTCTCAATTGGCCAGCTCGTCAAATTATAAACAACACGGAGATACATTGTAGCCCTAAACCGCATTTTAACAGTGTTTAGCAATTGTTGAGTATTTTATCGAAAACATGTTATGAAAGACATTCTTAACCAGCACAAAAGTTACGTTGGAAGCTTTGGAATGCCTTTCAGATACAAAAAAAATATTGTTGGTTATCAACGTCCTTCGATGCCAAAATTTACAAAACATGTAAAATTAGCAATTTTTGCAGCAAAATGCCTTCAATAGGACAATGTTGCCACGAAATTCTTTTTTACTATATTTTCAAACTCCCAAATTCTGATCCATATAAAAGGATTGGTAAAACCATTTCATTAGATAAGTCGAGATAACTCTCAATTGACAAATTGTTTTGTCTACAATTTTTTAATACACTTTACATAGTTTTTTTTTCTTGTTCCTTGCGATATTTTTTAATTGATAATAAACGTATCACTTCTATAAAATAAAATACATAAAGATTTGTATTCATTTTTCCATTTCAATATCAATTAAAAGTAAACTTGAAATTTTCGCTGGCATTCTGCAACTTGAAAAAATCAGAACTTTGGATTTGTTTGTGATTGTCTTCACTTTTACACAATATTCATAAAAGGCGTTAAATATGTACATTATATCAGAGCTTATTTTTTGCTAATAAAACTGTATCCTCCGCATATAATTGTAAATTAATTTCAAAAATACTTATAGTTCTTTTTCTATATCTTGTGATATTGATTCTAAGTCAGTTGAGATCTTTTGTTTTTTAAAAAATTTGAAGTTCATTCAGAAAAATAGAAAACAAAGCAGGTGAAAGGTTGTCCACTTGCCGTACCTCCACTCCACAAAGGAACAGATAGATTTTTCAGCCTGAAGTTTGACATATTCATACGTATTTTGAAATACATGAAAAAGTTTTCCATTTACATAATTCTGTAATAAATTGGACAGAATTAACTTTCACTGTAAAGAGTCAACGCTTTTTTGAAGTCGATAAAAGCACAATGTAACTTTTCTTTCTAAGTTTCATTAATTCGAATGAAGAATGTATATTTATGATAAAAATGTGTTTAGTCGTAGAATAGTTCCTCCTTAAACCTGCTTGATTTTCATTTAGAATATAGCCGCATCGGTGGTCTCATACGCGTGGTATCGTGTTCACTCCTAGTGCGGGAGGTCATGGGTTCGAGCCCCGGCCAGGTCAAACCAAAGACTTTAGAATTGGTATTTGCTAATTCTTCGCTAAGCACGCGACATTAAGGAGTAATAGCAAAACTGGTCGACTTGGAGTTCTCAATAATGTGTACGGGTAGGGTGGCATGTCTTCCTCCGGACTGTTACCTTGTGACAAGGATAACACTATAGGTCACGTCTATATACTTGGTCGGGACACAAAACTGAATAAAACTATTAACAGTTTCAGAGAAGATATTTGTAAAAGTTAACGACGACGGACGCCAAGTGATGAGAAAAGCTCACTTGGCCCTTTGGGCCAGGTGAACTATAAAAAAATAATTATTTTTACAGCTTATGACGAGTTTGATAGACTTTTGGAATCTTCTGTCTCTCTTTTACAAGTCTTGGAGACGAATGATGTAGTCTTTAATTATCATGACAATCCATTTTGATCTTTAAAATCATTCACAAAAGAAAACCAGCTTACGTTTTTAGAATGTAACTTTATTTTAAAATAATTAACATTTTTTCATAGCAATACACTAATTTAAGTATGATTAAAAACTTATTAAGCACAAAACCTTTTTAATTGGTAGAGAACGGAGCCAGGGTGTGAATGTGAAGGGGGCTAAAGAGAATAGGAGCAAAAGTGACTTGGGCGATTGGTCCAGATTTTCAAAGTTGCAAGCTCATAATATTTATTTCTTAATAAGCCCTGTTTTGAGTGCTGATCCAGGATAAATGGGAGGGTAGAATTATTTTTTTTTCTCAAACATAAGATAAGGATCACATTAAATATTAGTATTTCATAAAGACATTGGGCAAAGTCCAGTACAAATTGGTTTGGTCTAGTAAATAAAGTGACATGCATAAGTGACGCTAGAGAATGACGCTGTACAAATGTACATCATTCAAATCTTCTTGACATGACGAACAGGAATATATATGGTTTAGGGTCGGGGATATCTATATACATGTATATAGACCGTTTACAAGTTCTCCAAACTAGAGGCTCTAAAGAGCATGTGTAGCTCACCTTGGTCTATGTGCATACTAAACAAAGGACACAGATGGATTCATGACAAAATTGTGTTTTGGTGATGGTGATGGTGATGTGTTTGTAGATCTTACTTTACTGAACATTCTTGCTGACAATTGTCTCATTGTATTCTATTTATAAGGAAGTTGGCCCAGTAGTTACAGAGAAAAATATATGGTAAAAATGAAAATTGTTTAAAATTGACTATAAAAGCCAATAACTCCTTAAGGCATGTTAAGGGGTCAATTGACAATTTTGATCATGTTGACTTATTTGTAGGTCTTACTTTGCTGAACATTATTGCTGTTTACAGTTTATCTCTATCTATCATAATATTTAAGATAATAACAAAAAGCTGCAAAATTTTCTCAAAATTACCAATTCAGGGGCAGCAACCCAACAACGGGTTGCCTGATTGGTCTGAAAATTTCAAGGTGGATAGATTTTGACCTAGTGAACAATTTTATCTTTGTCAGATTTGTTCTAAATGCTTTGGTTTCAGAGCTATGAGCCAAAAACTGTATTTTACCCTATGTACTATATTTAGCCATGTCGGCCATCTTGGTTTGCAGGCGGGGTCATCGGACACATTTTTGAAACAACATTTTTTGTAGATACCCTAATGATGATTGTGGACAAGTTTGGTTAAATTTGTCTCAGTAGTTTCAGAGGAGAAGATTTTTGTAAAAGATTGCAAAAATTTATGAAAAATTGTTAAAAATTGACTATAAATGGCAATAACTCCTAGAAGGCATTTCAATTTCAATATTTATCAAATGAGCACAATTTGCTGTTCGTTTGTCATAGTTTCGTAGTTTTGAGTTTTCCCTCGGACAGTTCGAATTTTATTTCAATATTTCTCAAACGATCACAATTTGCAGTCCGCTTGTCGTAGTTTCGTTAAATGAACGTATTTTCGTCATATTTGATATAACTTTTAATCAAAAACTTTCGACAATTTCGATTAAAAAGATAGAACTTTATTCATAGAAATGTTTTCACGAGAAACAGGTGCTTCCTTTACGATGAACTGCGCATGCGCAAAAAGTTTTCTAATGAATTTAAAGACACTAAAACGTAAAATACGAAATAATTAAGTATCAAACTAAACGAGAGAGACAAATATCATGAATATAGTTCTTATTTAGCAAATTTAATTAAAAAAATTATAATTTCCTGCCTTTTTTAAACACGAACCAATCCGTAGATGAGTCCGGATTCATTCTGAATTGATTATCCACTTGTCACTTCCCGTTTTCATTTAATTTGGAAATTGAAAGTAAACGTGATCTATTCATGATAAATTTACAATTTAAAGTAATTAGCATTGTTCCAATAAGGAGTTGTACAAATCCTTGGTTCCAACTTTATAGAATTAATTCTAAATATCGCTTTAAAATGTTTTTAAGGATAACAAGGATAATGAGTATGAATAATGCAGTTACAAGTTCATTTATGCTGTGATTCCTGGTTTAAAAAAATGGATCCCATCTTTTGCTGATTAGGAATGTACCCTGAAACTAACTGAAGTGAAATTGTGAACTAGATTTCTAGATTGTATATCCTAATCTTCGTATTAAAGTGCCACATCAGTCAAATCATGCAGTAACTGCCTAGTATGCCTATAAGTCCTTCAAAGTCTGACAAAGATGTATAGATAGTAATATACATCTTAGGTCCCTTGCTGCTACCCAAATAAGGTTGATTTTCATCCTGCCCAAAAGTGACTAAAGCCCTCAAAATCCTAGCTTAAACCCTGCTAGAGGGGTCAACTGACCATTTTGGTCATGTTGACCTATTTGTAGATCTTACTTTGCTGAACAGTATTGCTGTTTACAGTTTATCTTTATCTGTAATAATATTCAAGATAGTAACCAAAAAAAAAAAAACGGCAAAATTTCCTAAAAAATTCCTAATTCAGGGGCAGCAACCCAACAACGGGTTGTCAGATTCATCTCAAAATTTCAGGGCAGATAGATCTTGACCTGATAAACAATTAAACCCCATGTCAGATTTGCTCTTAATGCTTTGGTTTCAGAGAAATAAGCCAAAATCTACATTTTACCCTTATGTTCTATTTTTAGCCACGGTGGCCATCTTTGTTGGTTGGCCGGGTCACCGGACTAATTTTTTAAACTAGATACCCCAATGATGTTTGTGGCCAAGTTTGGTTAAATTTGGCCCAGTAGTTTCAGAGGAGAAGACTTTGTAAAAGTTAACGACTACGGACGACGACAGACGCCAAGTGATGAGAAAAGCTCACTTGGCCCTATGGGCCAGGTGAGCAAAAAAGGGGGGTGATCCCCAGGAACTTGGCCTTTATTTGATTTGATTTGTTTTTTTGTCCCATACAAGAATATATTTTAGGGGTGGGGATCTTAGCCGTTGAAAAGGCACAATATCAAATTGTAAAGGGGGGTGGTGATGACCCCCAGGGACTCATACTCTCTTTTATTTGATTTGTTTTATTGTCCTGAAGACAGTGTGCATGTGTGTCTATTACCAAATCATATCACTTACTGTTTTCAAGTTATCAGTCATTTGAATATTTAAAAAAATAAAATCCCATATGGTTCTATAGTAAACCCCTCCCTTCTTAAGCCCCCTCAAAATACCCCTAAATAAACCCCAATGTACAAACAAAAGATTGATGCCTCCCCTAGACATGCTAGACATGTTATTGTTAGTCTATCATTTTATCTGTTTATTCTGTATGAAACCTTAAGTAAATCTGACACCTGCATCATATTATCTTCGTGTAGATGGATTTACCGTCTATGATAGAAATGGTGCAATGGAAGGTTTTCCATCCATTAGATAACGAATGAAATGGACGGAATTACCATCCACTGATTGGAGACTGGGGGAAAAAAACACAAAATGGGCTGCCGATCGGGGCCGATCACAGTGTTCAATTAATTGTCTTCGGTATTAAATTAATATCTACACAAAATATGTCTATAAAGGAGCATTTAAATGGCTTGGAATCTATCTGGATTTATTATTTCAATGAAATTAGTCGAATATACAAACCATCTATCATCGTAGCATCATGCGACCATAACGCCATATTTGTTGTTGCTGTACAAAAGTCACGTGATCAAAACAAGTCGTAGCGTAATTCCGAAACAATGACGGAAAACTCTGTAAAATATCCGAAAAAGAATTTATCTGTGTTGTGTGGACAAAACACTGTTGAACAAAATGTGAAATGTTTCTTGTGGATGGATTTAACATCCTAATTAAAGGATGATTTTCCATCATGGACCTGTTAAACGTAAAAACTAACGGCCTGATTTATGACAAAGTAATTAAAAGAAAACAATTGATTATGAAAAAGGCTCTGTATTTATTATGAAAATGTCAGTAAAGAAACGGGAGGCACGATTTAAAGGATTAATACGTTTTACAGTTTGCACCAGTTGTTTTTGTAATTTTGTAAATGAAGCTTACTGGTCTAAAAAAAAATGAACACAAATTTATGTATTTTTTGCTTAAAACTTGTACTTTCAGATTGGTTTAAAATTTGTAGAGGTATGATAATACTTGGATTTATTTCTATCTTATCATCGACAGTTTGTGTTGCATTGAGATTGTTTAAGCTACCTGAAAATAAAATATTACGAATTTGTTCTATCGTGGCTACTTTTTCGACTGGTAAGTATGAGCTATGTTTTGAATCCACTATACTTGATTGCCGAACACTTCCCATCAATTTTTAAGTGAATTTAAGACCCTAAATTGCATCCAAGATCCTCTGAAAATGCCGAATTTTAGAAGACAAACTTCTTATCCACTAGAAAATAAAAATTCTAATAAACAAAAAAAGCACACCGTTCGGGTCAACAAAACCAAAGCAGAACAGTCAACAGTCAAAACTGTCAAAAGAGAACTTAGATTTAGTGCAATGACATTATTATAGTACAAATGCATATTTATACAATTAAAAGGTGTCAAACAAGCATGTATACATTGGTAATGGTTTGATGGTACCCTCGAACAAAATAAAAGTTCATCAATATCAGTACATATTGTGTGGTATCAATGGGAAGTATGATAGCGATGTCAAGGACACAACGCATAATTCTGTAATCATGTAAACGGATAAAGACTAGAACAATTGTTTTGGAAAAATAGTTTGGTTCTTTTTCCTTTTCGAGGAGGATGGTAAAAAAAACCATTAACTGTTCTTCTCAAAAGTTCAAAGGCCTCAATGATTTGTTACAATAGATTTAAAGTGTATCATTTTATAGATAAATAGGAAAGTGAGCCAATCTGGACGCCATGCCCAACTTACAATATCACATTCCCATGTTCAGTGAAATGCTGGAAGTACAAGATAAGTGGTAGTAGTAGTAAAGACGTCCGTAACTTTTCCTCATGGTACAACACGTGGTAGTAAAATAGCGTTCATCAGTAAAAAAAAACAATAAATATAACGTTTGAAAGTATGAAAGCTACAAAAAATTGCTACAACCAATCTAAACTACACTTAATCTGACCGAAATTCAACCTTGGTTTTTATACTGATGCATGGGAGATACATAATTTAGACTGAACAAAATATATCAATAAGTATCAATTAAATCACACCAGTAATAAACAATGTAATATTTCCGTACTAAGGTAAGTTGTTTGAAGTAACAATGAATTAAATGTTTTCTATATGATGTTGTCTTTGGAATCCTTGTGAGTTGTACGTCTTACATTGTTCATGATATTTTGACTTTATCTCTATGGTTCAATATTGAGATTTCTACATACAATGCAGTATGACCTTTATATCATTAAGTACAGAATTACAATGTGCTGAATTACTACTAAGTATTTGGCTACAATATGATAGTCCACAATCGCGACCAAAATCAATTTTTTTAGGAGCAGATTATACTTTTAATTTTTATACGTGCAATGTATCCAGCGCATAAAATTAGTCGAAACTATTTTTTTCCTGATGATGTTTTTCTTATGTCCTTTTTCTCAAGGATTGTATCAACAATGAAGCTGTGTAATGGTTTGCATGCATGATGGTATATATGTGCAGCTCATTGGATTTGAAAATATCGTCCGTGATGACTATTTTGCTTGTCATACAGTTTGGTTTTTATTTGCTTTTAACCCTAACAACTCCAACACATGTATATTTTTCTTCAGTTGCATACCTTGCTGAGCCAATGACTACACAAGGATTTCACTTTCAAAAGGAAAGCAGTTGAGATATGTTATATTGAAGTTGTCACTTTGGCAATTCTCAAATTAGGATAGTTTACTTTAATACTTTAGTTATTTTCCTTATTGAAAGTCTTAACATTATTCTTGCTCCAATCATTTTGTCGGATAGTCTAGGTGGAAATATTAGCTACCTACAAACGTACGATGAATACTTTAACATATGTTTTATAAAAAACGTCACCATCTGTAGTAAAATGTAGTTTAACATTTGTAAAATATGTGAACAAATTACCGAAAAGGCAAAATAAATTGTTAATTTAATATTCACAGATATTTATTACATTTGACGTTGAAAGACGTAACAATTAAAAAACAAACCAAAAATAAGCACAAGTGATGACTTTTTTCTCTATCAAAAGACTGTAAAATCTTATCTGATTCATTTGTCTCTTTCAGTGGCGTTTATTCTAACAGGACTGGTTCTATATGTAAAAAATAAAGATGACATTACAGATGGAGAATTGTTCGATTATGGTTTCTCATTTGCATTATGCATACTTGGGATGTGTTTTGCTGCTTTGGTAGGCATCATCCTGATTTTTGACCTCGTAATGACAAAAAAGAACATTCAAAGTCGCGTTGGTGTTGAGAAAAAATAAGATAAGAACAGAAGACTATTAGAAAATATTTAGACTTAGCAAGAGAATTGTGAAATTGACAGTGCTTCTTTAATGCTTTAATGCTTCTTTTTAGCGAATACAGATCTCACATAAAAAACGTATAATTTATACACTGGTAACTTCAAATTTCTATCTTTGTATCTGTATAGTTTTCGTTTGAGAAAAAACTAGCACCAATGAAAGTAATGAGATAACTTATAAAGAATTTTTCATATTAACTTTGTTCGTTTACATTTGTGTCAACCATGGAAATATATCTATGTTCGAATACAAATACTGACTTAAAGTCATATGAAACTTCAAATTAAAAAAAAGTTACATATGTTTTATATACTTGAATGGCTAACTTTTACTATAAAACAAGTAAACGTGAACTTTCTTGTAAAAGAAAATCCTTTATATAATCAAAATCTTCATGTACTGCTAATGAATTATTGTCTTCCCGTACACTCATTCAACAATATTTTCCTGTATGCATTGACCTCAACTACGAATACGAAACCTCTAGTTAGAACTGCGGCCACCGCACAGCGCAAGTGAGAGGGGAAATCCGTGATGAATGATTATTAACAAACGTGCACTGGAAAGTGAATAGTAATAACTGATTTTTAAAGCACAATTTTAATACAACAAATCATTTAACAACTGTTAAAGAAAAGTTTAATTAACAAATGGGAACGCATTGAAAATAAAAATATAGGATGGCTCTATCATCCATTTATTTGTCACTTGCCCCACTTGCTCTGTGTTGATTGTTTATCAACGTGACGATCCGGTAAGCTTCGGCAACAAACTCGAAAGTTAATCAGCTTGCGATCAACAATCACTGAATGAAATATTATTTGTCGATAATACGTTATAGATTCGTAATAAATATAAAAAAGACATTCATACGGGACTTAGTTTAATATATATATGCATGCATTGGTTCAATAATTCTGATCACATTAAAATTATAAGAAATTCATTTCATCTGACTTTAAAAACGACGTCAAAACAGAATGTTATTTTATTCTTTAAATCTTAAGTTGTCACTGTATTATAACATTATAATATAGAATTGTGAATAAACCAGACGAATACACATTTGTCCTGACAAAAATGAAAACAATCAACCCTTAAACACAATTCTTTCCTTTGATATTAACTCTTAGTTGATACACGTGTATAACCATCCAAATATGCCGAACAAACTGGTTATGGTTACCTAAACATATTCATATAAGATGAATGTAAGCTTATATAAAGATGAGGAGATGTGGTATGATTGGCAACGATACAACTATCCATCATAGTTAAAACGAAGTGGCTATAAGCAATTATAGACAACCGTACGGTTTCAACAATATGAAAAACCCATACCGCATAGTCTGCCATAAAAGGCCCGACATGAAAAATGTGAAATAATTCCAACGAGAAAACTACCGCCCTAGTTTATAATAAAACAAATTAAAAAAAATATTTTTGTCAACACTGGCTTGCTCTGTTTGATGGGATGAAGGAATGACAAACGAACAATATGTATGAATTGAAAACTGTCATCTATTATTAAAATGACGAAGAATCAACAAAATGATAAACATGGTATAATTAAATCAATGAATCATATTAATAAACAACATATATGTTTATAATGATAAAACCTTATTGACCCATTCCATCAAAGATGGGGTTACATTCGCCACCATATTGTTACACAAAACCTTCCTTGTAACAATATTCCCCATCCAAGCCAGTGACAAAAATTTCCAGAAAACGCTTAGGCCCAACTACCAAAAAGAAATTCACCAATCTAAATTATCTACATATATCTAAGAGCTTTCATTCTGGATTCTATGATTATAACATGTACATGTATTTACAGATTTTAACATGGCTGCCAGAAGGCTATGTCTCCATGGCAACTAACGCCAAAAATACATAATATACCTATATTTACCAATTTTATATAAATATATGTTATTTTTTTTGTTATTTTTTTTTTAATAATCGTTTTTATTCTTTTTATGTCAATATAACTATGTTGATACGTTTCAGTTTCGTCTGCTTAATTTCGTGAAAGATATTAGTATTTCTTACATAGTTTATTACAGTGCGTAAAGTTAATCATTAAACTTAATGGGATTCCAAAATTTGATGACAGTATAGAGTTCAAACCCTAATTGTTTGTAATGACATATGGGAATGATTCAATACTGTTGGTTTTATAATCTCTCTGAGAATCGGGTTTAATAAGTGTAAAAATTCAAACGTAAATACTTCGTTTTTATTATAAGTTAAGTTATCCTCGAAAATAATGTTTTGAAATTGTGATAGAAAATGATTGTATATCTTGTTTATATTTCAACTTAGTTACAAAGAACAAAATAAAAACGCTTATTCCACTGCACCATTACAACCTTAGTTGGTGACATTTATATATACATATATATATCCTCTCGGATTATGGTTGCTTATATAAACGTCTAAGGATTGTCAGAGGCCCATGTCCCCATGGCAACCAACACCTTATGACACTTATATCTACATGTATATACCCTCTCTCATTATGGTTGAAAGAGACCTATGTCCCATTGGCAACCAGCCCTAACAACAACCATATAAACTACAAAATATTACAATATTCAATTATCCATGTATCAAAGATTGAATGAAAGAGGTCTATGTCCCCATTTCATTTTTAGTCATCTACAAAATTATACTTTCACATATTCATCGTACTTTAATCCAAATTACTTCTTTATAAAATTGATACGATACATAAATGTTTTTGGATTTCCTCAAACAACCTTGTACAATGTACCATTAGCCTTGATCCACAGACAGAAGCACATGACCCCATGTCTAAAAGATAAAGTCAAATACAATGACATCAAAAATATTCCTTTTCTACATACATGTATCTATAATACACCACATACAAAAATATGCATTTACTAATTAATACAATATAATACATTTGCGGAAAACATCAGACAAAAAAATTTGAATTTACAATGGTAACCGTATATTTCATAAGCTTCGGTGATTCATTAGAATACTTTTCAAAATAAATTTCCCCATTAATTTAAAAGGCCCCTTTCCACTGTGCCAAGGTCTCAATTTTTGCCTTATTAATAAATGTTAAAAAATCACTCTTCTCTACTGGAACATATTTGACCACTCTAGATTTGGATTTAAGTAAATTTATTTGACGAAATACCAGCTTTAAGTTATGGTCTACACCTAAAGCCAGTGGACGAGATAAACCTTGACCTAAATCTGTTGAAAATGAATCTGTGTTTGAATTATTCTGAAGTAAATGGTTAACCACTTAATTTGGAATTCCTTCAATTGGCGCCGAACACTGTTGATAGCCTCTGTTCATATTTGAAGTGTGTGACTGAGATGGTGCCGTCATATCTGTTGCATCAAATGAAGTGTTACTTTGCGTTGGTGGCAACATTGAATTACCACTCTGCGACCGGTTTGTCAGTGCTGGTATTAAAGTTAGATCTGATGTATTTACATCCTTGCCTTAAATTACACCAGTACTTCTGAGAATTGTAACAACAGTTTGTGTGATGATTGGTGTTACAACAGTTTATATCCTCATTGATCATCATTACTTTCACTATCAGTATTTGGAACATTTAAATTTGAAGAATCAGTGTTTTGAGTTTGGTAAAGGAATGTCAATGTAAGGTACATCCATCCAAGATCAGTATTGCCTATGTTCCCATTATCTAACCCAGCCTCCGAGTCCTTTTTCTTTTGCGAGTACTTCTTTTAGGTAATTGCAAAGTCATCTGATGAGGTTAATGCTTAAAGAGAACATAAAATGTGCACTTATCATAAATACAATATGTACTCAAGCACAACAAATCTAAATAAGTACCATAAACACTGCTCATCAAAGCATCATTTGACCTAGAGCATCATAAATTCATCTAAATGACATAAGCACCATGCTTTGCTCATCAAAGCACCATTTGTACTAGAGCATCATAAATTCATTTAAGTGCTATATGCACAATGCACTTCTCATCAAATTACCATTTGTACTAGAGCATCATAAATTCATCTAAATGTCATATGAGCCATGCACTGCTCATCAAAGCACCATTTGCACTAGAGCATCATCAATTAATCTTAATGTCATATGCACCATGCACTGCTCATTAAAGCACTATTTGCACTAGAGCATCATAAATTCGACGAAGTGCCATATACACCACGCACTGCTCATCAAAGTACCATTTGCACTAGAGCATTATCAATTCATCTAAGTGCCATATGCACCATGCACTGCTCATTAAAGCACCATTTGTACTAGAGCAGCATAAATTCATCTTAATGTCATATGCACCATGCACTGCTCATCAAAGCACCATTTGCACTAGAGCATCATAAATTTATCTAAGTGCCATATGCACCATTCACTGCTCATCAAAACACCATTTAGACTAGATCATCATAAATTTATCTAAATGCCATATGCACCATGCACTGCTCCTCAAAGCATCATTTGTACTAGAGCATCATAAATTCATCTAAGTGCCATATGCACCATGCACTGCTCATCAAAGCACCATGTGTACTAGAGCAGCATACATTCATCTTAATGTCATATGCACCATGCACTGCTCATCAAAGCACCATTTGCACTAGAGCATCATAAATTCATCTAAGTGCCATGTGCACCATGCACTGCTCATCAAATTACCATTTACACTAGATCATCATAAATTTATCTAAATGCTATATGCACCATGCACTGCTCCTCAAAGCACCATTTATACTAGAGCATCATAAATTCACCTAAGTGCCATATGCACCATGCGCTGCTCATCAAAGCAATATTTGTACTAGAGCATCATCAATTCATCTAAGTGCCATATGCATCATGCACTGCTCATCAAAGCACCATTTGTACTAGAGCATCATAAATTCATCTAAATGTCATATGCACCATGCACTGCTCATCAAAGCACCATTTGTACTAGAGCATCATAAATTAACCTAAATGTCATGTGCACCATGCACTGCTCATCAAAGCACCATTTGTACTAGAGCATCATGAATTTATCTAAATGACATAAGCGCCATACACTGCTCATCAAAACACCATTTATACTAGAGCATCATAAATTCATCTAAGTACCATATGCACCATGTACTGCTCATCAAAACACCATTTGTACTAGAACATCATCAATTCATTTAAGTGCCATATGCA